TGTATAACCTACTCTCTGGGGGACGGGCAGCAGGGGGGTGGGTGAAGGGAGACGCCGGACAGTGTAATATGATACAATAATAATTTATGAATTATTAAGGGTGCATGGGGGAGAAGGGAGGAGGAAGGGAAGGGGAGGGGGAAAAAAAGGAAAATGAGCTGATTCTGGGAACCCAAGAGGCAAGCAATTTTTGGGAATAATGAGGGCAACAAATGTATAGATGTGTTTTATACAATTGATCTATGTATTGTGATGAATTGTATGAGCCCCAATAAATTGATTTTTTTTTTAAAAGGAAAAAAAATGCACTTGATATATTATAAGAATCTGTGTATGTTCTTGATGTCATCCTATAGCTCTTCAGGTCTTCTGTCATGAGCATTTAATGTTAAATTTATTCTTGAGATTTTCTGGAAATTCAGTTAAGATATACTCAAGGTCATACTTTGACTCTGATGGAGAATAATTGATGCATTTCAGTTAGGATGTTGGCAAGGAATATTGAAAGCACTGTGATTATAATTTATTTTACATGAATTAATACCAGACTACCCCTAGTCTTTGGAGATGAATAATATCCTAGATGTCTAATTCTTCTAAGATGATATTAAGCCTCATATCCCTCAAGCACCATCCCTGAGTATATTCCTTCATTCCCCTGTGTACAAATGGATAATATATAACTGAAATGTCCCACAGAAATTCACCAGATTTTGAGGAAATGTCTCAGGTCCTAGTCAGTGCTGTTCAGTTCAAAATCCAAAAGTCAGACAGGTGAGTCAAATGCAAGGTCCAGAGCCAGAGTCAAAAATGCTGAAAAGTCACAATAGGTCTCCTTGTTCATACCAACGCTCAGTCAGGAATACAGTCTGTATAACTCTGTGGTGCCACCCTTACATATCCAAGGAAAACAACGGGTATAGCTTGATTAATGTTCTCTGCTAAGGTCAGGTTGAGACCCTTGATCCCACTCTATTCCTGTCCATTAGTAAATAATGCCCTCCAAAACGAGAGAAAGTCAGGATTTAAAGGATTTAAATTTAAATTATTTTAAATTAAAAAGAAATAAAGTCCAGAGTTATATCACATAAAGAATTATGGCTACAAGGGTCATATTAATTGACTAGCTCAAGGACCATGGATTTCTAGAGCAACAAACAAATCTATCTTTGAAGAAATATAATCAGGATGCTCCTTAGTATCGAAGATGATGAGACTTAGTCTGATGCACGTTAGACATGGCATAAGGAGAGATCAGTCCCTGAAATAAAGGACATCATTCTTGGTAAAGTAGATTAGTGAAAAAGAGGAAGACCAGCAAAGAAAAAATCTCCAGCAATTGGTTCAAACATAACAGTGCTTGTAAGAATGACATGGAACTGAGTGGTGTTTTGCTCTGTTGTGTATAGGGTCACTCTGAGTCAAAACCATTCGACAGCTCCTAGCAAGTACAACAAATCATCTTTTTATCATATTTATCTCTTCCATTCCAGAGTGAACTAACCACTATGCATATTATTCTGTTTGTGGTTGCCTTCTGTGTGTTTGGAACCCTTCTAAAAAACCCAGACCTTGTCCTACACATCTCTGAGCATGGTGCCAGCACAGAGATTGGCGTGCTGTGGGCATTTTATGTCTATTGATCTAAAAAGGAAGTCCAACTAAACACCTTCTTTTCAACCTGGAACATAACTAGATATTCACTGAGTAAACAAAGATGTATAAAACGGAAAAACAAACAAACAAACAAAAGCCCCTCACACTTGCACTATAAAATCAATTTGATTTGAAATGCTTATACAGATACAGATATATCACATACAGATATACCTCCTTTGATTGAATCTCACTTTATTACGCTTCACAGATACTGCTTTTTTTGTACAAATGGATGATTGTGGGATAATTCTTGGTTGTCACCATTTTTCTTTCAGAATTTTGTATGTGGCATCCAAGCCTTCTTCCTTCTAAGATTTCCACTGAGAAATCAAAGCTTGCATGTATTGGTTCTCCTTAATAAGCAACTTTTTGTTTGTCCCAGGCTGTTCTCAAAATTATTTGCTTGTCTTTGGCTTTGGAAGGTTTGATTATAATATGTCTTGATGGTTTTCTCTTGGGGGTCAACCATGTCTGAGGTTCAGTCAACTTCTTGAATGCATATCTTCCCATCTTTCATGATATTAGTGACACTTTCTTTCAGCAGTTTTTTTCTATCTTGTTTTTCTCTTCGTGTTCTGGAATTCCAATCACCAATCATTCCAGTCATCCAGTCATCAAGATTTAATCTTGTTGGTATTATCTCACACAATTCTTAGGCTTTCTTCTTTTCTACTGTTGTTCTCATTGATTGTTCCCCTAGCAAATTAGTTTTGAGAGATATATCTTAAATCACATTAATTCAATCTCCCAGTAATTCAATTCTACCCATTTGCCCTTTCAATTAATTACCTATTTCTGATGTCTTAGTAATACTATTACATATGCCAATTTTTTGTATTATATCTAATTTTTAAGTTTTTCTTAGTTTGCTCTTATAGATTTTTTAGAGTGTTTTTCTTTATTTTTATTGATTTCACCTGGCACTTTATGCTCCTTTTCTTTAACTGTTTAAAGTATTTAAGTATAAATATTTTGCATTTCTTATAATGTAGCTTTCAAGAATATTTTCGGCTCTATATTTTTGTCATTTGTTTGAGCTACTTTCTTACTTCTTTGTTTGAATTTAAATTGTTTGTCATCTTCCAGGCATTGGGGTGTTGTATTTACATTTAATTGATGATTGTATGTTAGTGTGCTCTTACACATTCACTACCTGTATCCTGATGGTGTTATAGAGAATGAACGTGTGTGCATTTTTCTATGTTTGATGTTCATATACTGCAGCTATGAGGAGGGTGTGGGGAGGAGAGGTAGGGCTCACCACTAGTGTTTGGATTTATGCTCTTCTAGGTGAGTGGAGTAGATTGCTACTCTATTGTCTTGATTTTGCAAATGCTGTTTGCAAAAATTCAAAATCGCTGCACCATGTCAGCATAGTGGACAATTCACCTGTTCCATTTGTCTCCTTTCTTGCAACTTTGGTTAAGTTTCTTCTTCTAGTCAGTATTCATTCAATCCACTTCTCTATATTTTCTCTAAAGCCTAGAATTACAAGATTACCATCCATATTTGTTTCATTTGGTCTCTCATATCTGTGTTGTAGAGTCTAAATAGTGCATCTGCTGAGAATGCCATCTTATTGCTAGTCCTATGGACATAATTTTATATGCATTTGGGAATCAAAAAATGTGTGACTCACTGTATTGCAATATTCACTTTATTGCAGTGGCCTAGAATTGAACGTTCAACGTATCTGAGTTATTCCTATAACTTGAACAGTATAGCAATGAGAGGCCACTAATGAAATTTGTTGGACATCTTCAAAAGAAACTGCATATAAGTAATCAATATAAAATATTGTAATTTGTTTCTTGTACAACTAATAATAGAGTGTTAAATAATAAAATAAATGTTAATATTAATCTAAAATATTTAGTTATGATATAAATATATTCTTAAAAATTGTAAGTAACTTGGAAAACAAAATGTTAGTAGGCCAAATTATTGTGACAGGTTTTTGGTTGCTCCCACAAACACCTGATTCCCCTTCTTTTTCATTAACAAAAATTATCTGGCTCAACTTTCAGCTAAATGAGACTAGATAACTATTCTGTAAAAGAATATGGAAACGAAACCAGTGCCTATATTTTTGGAAGTGACTCTAAGGGGTGATGATATGGCTTATTCCTTTTCTTCTTTCCTTCCTGTTGTCTAGAATATTGTTTTGAGAAAGCTTGGACAGTCATGATGAACTATGAGTTCCTTAGGTAAGATATAGTCTTTATAGAACAGTAGACACGTCAAGACAGAGGATCTCACTTCCCTGAATTCATGGTCTTCAAATCTATTAATCAGGTATCTCTACCTCTTGACTTTTACATGACAGAAAAAAAATATCTGAGGGAGAAAGTCAAGGCTTTCTACACCTGTAAAGTCTCAGAATCCCACAGGGGCAATTTTATCCTGTCCTATATAGTTACTATGAGTCAGTCAGAATTGGATCAATGGCAATGAATTTGGTTTTGTTTTTATTGTGCCTAAGCCACTCTCATATTGGGCTTCTTGTCATTTGCAGCCCAAATTGTCCCTGATTAAAGCACTAGAAGAACCTTGGTAGGGTAGTGGGCTGCACATTGGACTGCTATAAATGCAAGGTAAGCAGTTTGAAACCACCAGCCACTCCATGGGAGAAAGATGACACTTTCTACTCCGGTAAAGATTTACAGTCTCAGAAACCAACAGGGACAGTTCTATGCTGTCTTAATGTGATGCTATGAGTCAGAAATGAATCAATAGCAGTGAATTTTTTTTAAGTAATAACTATTTATTTTGTTAGCCTATCAATATCACAGAATCCTGTTGTGAGATAGAATTGGCAGAAACTCACTGTTACTCACAGAAACGCTGCTGTCTTAAAAATCTTTTGCCTTTCAACAGTCAGTTTTGTGGGATTTTTGGTTTTATGCATTTATTTTTATTTTCATGTTTTGCATTTTTCCTAAGGCTATGACTATCACAAGCTTTAAGGTCAATAATAGTTTCAACAAGAGCCAAAATATTCTGAAGATATCCTATGGAAAACTAACAGGATATCAGTCAAAAACATCCAAACTACGTAAACCAGATTAATGGATTTCACATTCCCCTTACTGAAACAGTTTTAAATAGTTCTTTCACATCAACCACTTTATCTGACATTTGTTCTCCCTGTAAGTCCTTATTGTACTCAAATCCTCCATCTCCTCAGACCAGCCCTAAAAGACCCCAGCTGTTTCTCTTGTTCTCTTACCACTCACTTGGCACATACGATCGTGTTTAGAAAGACATAGGGGACCCACGACCCCGCCTCAGTGAGGGACGGGCTGATCCCTACCTGGGCCCGGTTCCCCGGGGTGTCACCTGAGCAATGCTCCGCTATTCTGCAGCGGTTGGCTGTAAGAACCGCCGGGGACGGAATAATAAAGACCGGAAACTGAGTTTTTACCCGTTTCCTCTGCATGACAAAGAAAGACTTGAAAAATGACTAAGGAACATGAAACGAGATTCCTGGGTTCCTAGTAAATACCAGTTCCTGTGTAGTGACCATTTTACTCCCGACTCTCTTAATATCAGATGGGGTATTCGCTATTTGAAACAAACTGCAGTTCCAACAATCTTTTCCGTATCTGGCGACAATCAGGGAAGAGATGCTTCCAAAAAAGGTCTCATAAGACAAATTAGAAGATGAACATGAAGTGTTCCAAAAATCCAAGTCAGAAGAAGCATTTGTATCAAATGAGCCAAAGAAAAATACAGTTAACACAGATGTGCTCCCTAAATATACAGAATTATTTGACGCAACTGGTTTGGTGACGCCACCAGCTCCAAAAACAGAGAGGACGCAAAATAATCTATTAGCTCTCAACCTGGTTCAACAAGGTACTGGACAGCCAGAGTCCACTTTGGAAACTGCCCTTAACCAAGGTGTAGGTGTAGGTGGTTTTCACACTTCTTTTGAGAATATAAATTCTACCACTATTACTTTGACCACTTCTGACTCAGAAGATATTCAGCACTCTTTGGAAACACAAGAAATATTTGAGATAACTACCAATCATATTGCTATTCCAAATTTTACAGATAATTCTGTGGAAATTAAGTCAGCACAAGAACATCCTATTGTATTCAGCACAATTTCTCAAACACTTGGAGACTTCAATGCAAATATGGAATCTGTTATTGCGATTTTTGTCCCCACGGAAAATTCTAGGCCTAGAGTGAATTCTTTTGTCCCTGCCCAACAAGAAACTGTGGACATGGAGGACGGAGACACCGAAGACTCCTTATTCAGGGATGTTGACTATGGAACAGAAGTTTTGCAAATTGAACACTCTTACTGCAGACAAGACATAAATAAGGAATATCTTTGGCAGCAAGTGTCTAAGCTACATTCAAAGATAACTCTTCTTGAACTAAAAGAGCAACAGACTCTGGGAAGATTAAAGTCTTTGGAAGATCTCATAAGGCAGCTACAGCAGGAAAACTGGCTCTCTGAAGAAAACGTCAAGATTATAGAGAACCATTTCACAACGTACGAAGTTACTATGTTATAAGGCATTTTAAAGCGATAACTTTTCCAAGGTCTTTGGTGGTGGTGGTTGTTTGCAGCCAAACCAAATTATTTGTAAAGTGAACTTTTCTTGTATGAAATGCTCATCTTACTGAAGCTCTGCAGGCCTCTAACGTTGTGGACTACTAGGCATTCTGTTGTAATACTCATTTTTTAGAAAAAACTCAGAGAACTGTGGGCTATGGAGAAAACTGTTTATATAATCATTTTTCAAGTTGAAGTTACTTATAGTAAATAATTTAATTAAGTTGTAAAATGAGAGAAACTGTGATGGTGGTCAGAAGAGACAAGAATAGAAAACAGGCCCAGGAATCTCTCCTGATTCTACCACTGGCGTGTAACTTAGACAAGTGACTTATCAAGCTGGAGCCCAATGAGAGCATTTACTATGTTTCTTCCCTTTCGCACTTTTGACAAGATAGGTTTTCTGCATCGGATGGTCTAAGAGGAGCCCTGGTCATACAGTCTTTGAGCACAATGGCTGGTGGTTTAAATCCTCCAGCCACTCAGTGGGAGGAAGCTGTGGTATTCTGCACCTGTAAAGACTTTTGCATCCTTAGAAACTTTATGGGGGAGTCCTCTGTCCTTTAAGGTCACTATAAGTTAAAATTCACTTGATGACCTAAGGGTTTATACTCCATATTAATAGAAGTTGCCTAGAATCTGATATTGCTAACTATTGGAATAACTGCAATAGTTATTCAATTCTGTGTTTAACTTTTTGGCTATAGTTTCGCACCTATATTACAAAAGATTTATTTGATAACATTACTACAGTTGAAGTAAAATAAGGACCCAGTCACTAGTACAGTTCTAGAAATGTTATAAGCACTGAAGAACCTGTATGTCCTTACATTGTGTGTGATTGACTATCTTAATATATAATTGTTTGCACTTCTTAACAAACTATTTATAGTTATATTTATAACAAATATGGAAATGAGGTTAAGTATATTTTAAAAACCATAGTCTATTTCTTAACAAGTGTAGCTTTTTAAAGTATGTGCCTGTGTCATTTCTAGAATACAAAAACATACAGTAATATGAGAAGCCTCAAAAAGTATGGAATATGGAATTAAAAGATAATAAGAGTTTTCCCTTGAATTTTGTTAAGCCTCCCTACGTAAAATTACACATTATCACTAATGTGTATTTTACTGAAATTTATAAGTGAGAAATTATAGAAATTGTGATGATGGCCTTAGAGAGTTTAGTAAAAAGAAGAAATGATTATACTTGTAAAAATACTATTTAAATATAAAAGAATTTAAGAAAAATGAATATAAAAGCAAACACAAATGTGAAAAAAATACGCAGTGTTTCCTTATGAACTGTCAGTTAATAGAATTAAATATACTATGACAGGATAGTTTATGGTGTTAGACAAGGTCATACCAGTCTCATCTGTAAAATAAAAGATAGCATTTTCTACCTTTTGTAACAGATTTGAGAATTCTATAAGGGAACATGTTTTGAACCTGAAAAATAGGAGGTGTTCAATAAACTTGGTGGACAGCAAATAGTATACTCATTGTTTTATAAATGCATGCTGATTGTTTTGGGCCAGGTTCAATTATTTTCTTCAGTTAACTATAAAATGTGTCTTTCTTGGGTGACCATGAGAAAAAAGTTTACTAGTGTTTTTTCATATGTGGTGGGGTTAATATTTTTTAGTGTCTTTGTGCTGTATTTTGCTAATAACTAGTAATTTTAGATACTAAATTATACAGATGAAAATAAAAAACCTTTATAAATAAAAAAAAAAAAAGAAAGACATAGGGCTGTTTTCTGCTCCTTTCTACAATCAAACTTTTCTGGAGCCAATGGTTTCATTATATGTTTTTAACTTGCATATATAGCAGTCCAATGTGCAGCCCACTACCTAGTGCTTTAATCAGGGACAATTTGAGCTGCAAATGACAAGAAGCCCAATATGAGAGTGGCTTAGGCACAATAAAAACAAAACCAAATTCATTGCCATTGATCCAATTCTGACTGACTCATAGTAACTACACAGGACAGGATAAAATTGCCCCTGTGGGATTCTGAGACTTTACAGGTGTAGAAAGCCTTGACTTTCTCCCTCAGATATTTTTTTTCTGTCATGTAAAAGTCAAGAGGTAGAGATACCTGATTAATAGATTTGAAGACCATGAATTCAGGGAAGTGAGATCCTCTGTCTTGAAGTGTCTACTGTTCTATAAAGACTATATCTTACCTAAGGAACTCATAGTTCATCATGACTGTTCAAGCTTTCACAAAACAATATTCTAGACAACAGGACGAAAGAAGAAAAGGAATAAGCCGTATCATCACCCCTTAGAGTCACTTCCAAAAATATAGGCACTGGTTTTGTTTCCATATTCTTTTACAGAATAGTTATCTGGTCTCGTTTAGCTGAAAGTTGAGCCAGATAATTTTTGTTAATGAAAAAGAAGGGGAATCAGGTGTTTGTGGGAGCAACCAAAACCTGTCACAATAATTCATAGTAGGTTAGAGAGTGGAGAGAGAAGGGTTTTTCAATTTCTGAGTGTTGAGAAATTTTAAAGCCTTTCTCTTACTTGATGACAAAGTTGAAGCTGATTTAGTAAAAGCACAATGTGGTATCTCTGATAGTGATGCAGCCTTTTGCTTAAACCATTTTCACCAAAGTCACCGATAACACACACTTAGAATAAAATAAAATCTAGTAATGTATCTATCCTATGGACCTGTTCCAAAGTATTTATTTAGAAGATGTAACAAATATAAACCAAAATCTAACTGGTATCAAATAAATGCTGACTCATGATCCCCTTGGTTTCTGAGACAGCAACTCTTTACATGAGTAGAAAGCCCAGTCTTTGTTCTGTGGAGTTGCTGGTGGTTTTGAACTGCCAACCATGTGGATTGCAGCCCAATGTGTAACCACTACACCTAAGGACTCCTAGGAAACACAGAACCCAGGGAAATTCAACTTAAAAGAACATATAAACTCCTTCAGTTATGGATAACAGGCATGGCACTAAACATTATTTCAAATGGTTTCACCCCCTAAAATAATTGAAAAATAATGCTAAACGTAATTAGCACTGTTGAGAGGTCAAAATTTTTGCTACATAAATGTTGACTAAAAGAAAAGAAAGAGAAAAATATCTCCTCCCCAAACTAAAAAATACCCATAAAGGAAGAGAGACACATACAGTGTCTTTATGATCTTTCTGCTAATAATAGCAAAATAAGATTAGGAATCCCAAGCTCCCTGTACTAGTTCTTGACTAAGGAAGTCTGTGTTAGACAGGGTTCTCTAGAGAGATAAAACCAAATTCCTGATAATTAAATATATTTATTTATAAAGATAATTAGATATATAACAAGAAATGAACTGTTAAATTATATACAGATAAATATAACAAATAAATATAACAAATGAACAGTTAAATTATAAGCACTACAAATGGCTCAGCGTTGTGAGAGACTAGCAGTCCTTCTCCTCTCTCTGCTGCCAGATCGCCCTCTATTTATAGAGTGAGGCTATCTCAGCACAGCAGCCAATCACAAGGCAGATCACCAACTGTCAACTGACCACCAGTCCCAACTGCCAGTCCCCAGCTCCAGAGATGCCTTAAAGGGACCTCAACTTACAGAGACACAGTCCACAGGCTAGGCGTCCAACAGGTAGTGTAGCCTATAAATTGAGGCAAAGAACGAGCAAGGTAGCCGCACACTGGTCCGATGATCAAAGAGCAAGAGACAAGAAAGATGAGGCTCACTGAGCCATTATCTCTCCGCCCTTCAGTTAATCCTACTTGTATTTATCAGCCAGGCTGGCATAATAAACTATATCAAAGTCCATTCAAATCCTCAACAACTTTCATCAGCTTTTCTCACTTAAAAACCTTTGGTCCTTTTTCAATGAAGAGTTGAAACAGAAGGGAAAAAATTCCCACAAAGTGCCATTGCCACATCTACCCACTTGACTTGTATTTGTGTGGCTATTTTCTACCTATGCCTTTGCTCCTAAGCAACAATATTTGACTTGTGAATTAAATTCCATTTATTTCACTCACTTACTCCATTGACTCTATTCCTTTCTTTCCTATATTATCAGTCTTTCTCTCATGTGCATTTCCCTATGTATAAAAACAGATTTGAAATCTCTCCTTCCTAAAAGAACAAACCAAAAAAAGCCTCACTTTAATTCTTTTTCCAGCTATTGCCCAAATCCTCTCCTACTCTTTGAAGCAAAACTCCTTAAAAGTATGATTTATACTTTGAGTCTCTCATTTCTTCATCATCTTTTTTTTCCTAAATTCAACCCACTCCTGTATGTAATTTCCCATCAATTCACCAAAATAGTTCTCCTCAGGCTAAGCAATAAATTATACATTGTCAAAGACAACAGTTGATTCTCATACCTCACCTTGATTGACATATCAGCAATATTTCCCAATTAATTACTCTCTCCTTTATGATGTGCTGGTCTGTCTCTGATACCACAACACTATATTTGACTGTTTTTCTTCTTCTACCTTTCTGGTAACTGCTGGTATCTGCTTCTGGGTGTTCTTGCTGAATTACTCTTATCTTCCTTTAACATTGTAGTACACCAAGTTTCTTTCTCTGATTCTCTTTGCTATTCTTTTTATATTCACTCCTTAGATGATCTGCAATTTCATGTTTTAAATACTATCTATATTCTTTCTACATTTCTGTCTGTTTGTCATACTATGGGGCTTGCATGTGTTTGTGATGCTGAAAGCTAGGTCAACATTATTTAAAACATCAGCAGTGTCACCCATAGTGGAGAGGTTTCAGAATAGTTCCTAGAGAGAGACCTAGTAATCTATTTATAAACATCAGCCAATGAAATCTTATAAAGGACATCAGAACGTTATCTGATTTCTGGATGAAGGACTGGAGGAGGACGTTATATTTCTTTTTTTTTTTTAAACATTTTATTAGGGGCTCATACAACTGTTATCGCAGTCCATACACACATCAATTGTGTAAAGTACATTTGTACATCATTCTCAAAACATTTTCTCTCCACTTAAACCCCCGACATTAGGTCCTCATTTTTCCCCTCCCTCCCTGCTCCCCCCTCCT